CTGATTAATTTTTCATTTAATTGGATATTTTTCAATTTGTAAATTTTACTCATTCTCATCTTTCTGTCCTTGACTGTGAATATTATAGTCAATTGCATTTAGTTTCATATTATTTTCGTTGAGGATACGATAGAAAAATCTTTAACTGTTGCCTAACTCATACAGATATTTGCAATATATGCTAGCAGAAAGATAATCTTTGCATAAAAGGTAGAGTTACATACATTCTAAATGTTCAATTATGAATAGTTTCTGATATAATCATACTTCATTGTGATGGATTCTTTTAAAGCATGCTTTAAAGTATATTGAAAATTTCTTGTGTATCATATTTATTTCATTGTGTGAAAAATAATTAGAGATGTCTTGCAGTCATTTCGATTGGTATCGACTTGACTTGACTTGAGGACTTACAAGACCGGTTGGGGAAATTTTCCTATAATTGATTATGTTTTGTGGCGAACTATTTGAACCATTTTCTAAGAATGATTCAACAAAAAAAATCGATACAGTGCTCGATTTTGCTGAGAAAAAACTCAAAACTCGCACGATTGATGGAGGAAAGGACAATCAACTCTTCCGCTCAAGACATCTCTTAACATTCTATTTTATTAAACTACAGATATATAAATAAATTTAGTAGTTTTTGTTGTGCCTACTTTTTTGTCTTGTCATATATGAAATAAAATAGTTAAACAATTTGGCTCTACCGTTCTCTGAATAACGTCAATATGCAAGATTACTCATAATAACGAATGGATATAAACTGATATAATTGTATCAGTAAACAACGACGATTTGATACATTTTTTGCTCTAACCAAGAGTGATTGAACTTTCTTTAGACAAAATAAAATAAAGGTTTTCATTCATAATTTTTATTTCTACATAAATAAAGTTTTCAGTATCTTATTTCAATTCTATGTAACAACAATTTCTTGTAGATTAACAAAAACAAAACAAAAATGGAAAAAGAAAACCAACACATGTTCAAAGAAGGAAAAAAACGAAAAAAATCCTCAAAAATCCCACAAAAAAAAACAGAAAAATTGTCAAAATTTCCGAAAAAAACCCAAAATGACTTTCAAATTCTCAAACAATTCACGAAAATTTTTTTCGAGGGTTCCGCCCCCGCCCCCCTAGCCAACAATTCTGACTCCGCCACTGCCATGTACGTGTTCTCTTTTCACCATGACCATCACCACCAACAGATGAATCTTAAAGGGTGAGTCAGAAGTCCTGACTCGATGTGTACAACAATTTTTTATATGGTGAAACACGCGCTTGTAAACTTGACTCTATGAGGAAAAGTTGTATTAAAACGTGCTCTTCAATATCACTATTGATTGATCTCGCTAGCTCATGTAAGTTAGTAAGAAAGTTATAATCTAAGATATTATGCTTCACAAAAAATGAAAATTAACCGTGCATCCTGTCTCTGTAATTTTGCTCTAACTCCTGTCACTTAGGTTCATTAGAACAAATTCTTCTTTTAATAGAAGCGTTTTGAAATTCTCTGCAAAATAATGCCTACACTTTAATTCCAAAACTTCAATCAAGAAAACTAAGCAAGTTAAGCGCGAGGCGAAAAACATGACAGCTTAGTAAATTTACTATTATTTTTTACCTGAATTTTTTCTTTCTGTATTTTTCCGTAAAGCAATGTAGCAAAAGTGAGAATTCAGTCGCGTTTGGTACTTTTAGATGTACTATTTCTCATGATCTGTAAAAATTTTCTTTTAGAGAAAAGATGGTGGGCTCCAAATCCAAGTTTCAAAATAACGCCACAAATCGACAAGTTCATTTTCGAAAATCCATTCAGCAAGTAGCAGAAAACGCGATGAAAGTTTTGGTGTTGCAGCTATACAGAGAAGGGCAATCATTTCTGACCAAAACAAAACACGTTTGATCGAAAAACCTATTGTTTTCATGAAGTTATAGGACTTTTACTGAAAGCACTATATCATATAGGTCAGGTTCACGGTTAATTTTCATGTTTTGTGCAGCATATTTCTAAGCTTATAACTTTCTTACTACATAAGCTAGCGAGATCAATCAATAGTGATATTGAAGAGCGCGTTTTAATGCAACTTTTCCTCATAGAGACAAGTTTACAAGCGCGTGTTTCACCATATAAAAAATTGTTGTACACATCGAGTCAGGACTTCTGGCCCACCCTTTATATGTAATAATACAAGGAAGAAAGCATAATATAAAAAGTTATCCCGGAATATACTAGTGCATAGTCGCGTGTATGCGTGCCATATAAGAAATATCTTGAACAAGCTATAATAAGCAAATGAAAATCACTATACTTGAAATTATACGGTGATAGCGCACCAGCACACAGAGATGAAAATCTGAAATATACGCTATAGATAGAGGACTACTAGAGCATTATAATGGTAGAGATATGACCAGTCTAGATCAGCCTATAGTATATGAAAATCGAAAGAACATATCATCATTGCATGAAAATGAATACAAAAAAAAACTCAAATTTTTACTCCTACTTTTGAGTGTTAGGAGTATAGTCAACTGCCCTCGACGATAATACTGTATAACAAAGAAAATGATTTTGAATAACCGAAAAAAACTGAAAAAAAAAGATTCGATTCGACTCGGGAGTTTGAAGTTCCATTCGGAGTCAGTTCGATTCGATTTTGGTCTCTGATATTTACAAATAGATGAAGAGACGTCGTAGTAAACATTTTGGCGTCTATTAAACACGTCTTAAACTAATATAATCAATTGAAGGTTTTAGCTGGGTACGCTTACATTTCGGCTTGAGTTTTGTTTCTCGCTTTATCTTTTATCTTCTATTGGGTGTTTCTTGTGTCATCAGACGTTGCCTGATTAATTTTTCATTTAATTGGATATTTTTCAATTTGTAAATTTTACTCATTCTCATCTTTCTGTCCTTGACTGTGAATATTATAGTCAATTGCATTTAGTTTCATATTATTTTCGTTGAGGATACGATAGAAAAATCTTTAACTGTTGCCTAACTCATACAGATATTTGCAATATATGCTAGCAGAAAGATAATCTTTGCATAAAAGGTAGAGTTACATACATTCTAAATGTTCAATTATGAATAGTTTCTGATATAATCATACTTCATTGTGATGGATTCTTTTAAAGCATGCTTTAAAGTATATTGAAAATTTCTTGTGTATCATATTTATTTCATTGTGTGAAAAATAATTAGAGATGTCTTGCAGTCATTTCGATTGGTATCGACTTGACTTGACTTGAGGACTTACAAGACCGGTTGGGGAAATTTTCCTATAATTGATTATGTTTTGTGGCGAACTATTTGAACCATTTTCTAAGAATGATTCAACAAAAAAAATCGATACAGTGCTCGATTTTGCTGAGAAAAAACTCAAAACTCGCACGATTGATGGAGGAAAGGACAATCAACTCTTCCGCTCAAGACATCTCTTAACATTCTATTTTATTAAACTACAGATATATAAATAAATTTAGTAGTTTTTGTTGTGCCTACTTTTTTGTCTTGTCATATATGAAATAAAATAGTTAAACAATTTGGCTCTACCGTTCTCTGAATAACGTCAATATGCAAGATTACTCATAATAACGAATGGATATAAACTGATATAATTGTATCAGTAAACAACGACGATTTGATACATTTTTTGCTCTAACCAAGAGTGATTGAACTTTCTTTAGACAAAATAAAATAAAGGTTTTCATTCATAATTTTTATTTCTACATAAATAAAGTTTTCAGTATCTTATTTCAATTCTATGTAACAACAATTTCTTGTAGATTAACAAAAACAAAACAAAAATGGAAAAAGAAAACCAACACATGTTCAAAGAAGGAAAAAAACGAAAAAAACAAATTATATACAATGGGTGAGCTGAAGTTGTCGAACAAGTTCTCGATGTTGACTTGACGACAAGTGAGCAAATAAATCTGAAGTGAAATTAAAATCCATATCACACAATTCACAAGTAATCTGACACATGAAAGTTGTACTAAACAGAAATAAAAATAACCTAATAGGGAATACAAAAAAAAAGAGAAAAGAAATTACTGACATGGTTGCTTTTTCTCGCAGCCAAATAAGGTGATACATCATCTTCAAACGATATTCATCATCAATGTCAACTGTACGAGTAATAACATCATCATGAAGTGGAAATAATTTAAGATGATCAGGTGAAACATCTTCAGCCATTTTTGGAACACGATCATCAGGATTCAACTAAAATAGAGAAAAATATTTCGATCAATCGTTCATCTTTCATCTTTACTCTATTCCATTGAAATGTTCCAAAATAATTATTTCGATTCGGTGGTCGTTTTGCTTCGAGTAATCTATCACATCAATAAATTAGATTATAAGAAAATATAAAGAAAAGACAACCAGTACAAACTTTTGTAATTCAGTAGTTATTGTTCTTCGAACTGATCGCATCAAATCTTTATTACCTGCTGATTCTGCACTATATAGTGCTAGATTCATTTGTTTACGAATTTCATTGATCTTTTAATAGAAATAAAAATTCATGTTCATAAAGAATCAATATAAACATGAAAAACATTGAAATTTACTCGAACAAGATCTTCTGTTGATATTTGTACATCAAATCCAATATCCATATCATGATCAGGATAAAGAGAAGTATTTGTTACTGGATTAAAACCCAGACCACACAAAACACCTGTTTTCATTTTTCCTTCTTCATCAAGTCTAGAAGTGAAGAAAAAAAGACATATTTACTTAGTTTTGCATTTTAATAAGAATCATTTGTCTATTTATTTAATCTACTAACCTTAATTCGATCGTTGGTGCAAAAATCATAGCAATTAAAGCTGGTAAACCACGAATAGATGGCATTAACGTTGTATGACGAAGTGATACGATTTGTCGTGTTTGTGAAAGATGAACACCAAATGCAACAAGTAAACGACGATAATTACAATGTTGTTCTTCTTCTAAACCAACTGAATTTATTGATTCACCATCAATTTGAACACGACGCATTTTTGTTGCATAATGACACGATGAATGATTTGCTTCTAATGGTGAATATGGACCTGATAGAAATAGAAATTCAACACAAATAAATTCCAACTAACACAAATGATTTATTTTACCAGTTAGTGTTACAGGTTGACCAATTTCTTTTCGTTCATAAACTTCACATAGTTCCTTAGGAATATCAATTATCTGTACTGATACATTACTAGGATCAGTACTTGATGATAAATCAGTTGTATGACTAACAAATCGTTGAGCATCGCGACGTATTCGATAATCATGCTAAATCAATGGAAAAAAAGCTATTTAAACGATCGAAAAGAAAAACATTTTCTTATAATTTTGATTTTAATACAACATTGTAGTATAATGATTTTTTTGTAATAGATGATTACAGTCTAGTAATTGAACTCTAGTTTAAAAGAGAACTTATGTGAAAACAAATATTTTGAATACGAAAGTGCATGAAATCCTTTACTAAGCGATAGTATTTCAACTAACGAGGGAACCTCTCCAAGTGATACCAACCATTCGGGTTCACATTGTGCTCATAAGTAGGATCCAGTGAGGCTAGAAAAAGTCTAAAAGATTTCGTGCCATTAGGCCTTTCTCTCAAAGTTATGACCGTTTTACTGAATTTTTGACCTTG